GAGCTCGTCGATTATGATGAGCGACTTCTCTGTGGCCGAACTGTAACAACAACAACAACACAGACGATGAGAAAACCTTCCCGTATCTGCTCATCGGTTATTTGTATAACTATTAATAAAGCTCGTCTGTTCTTACCGCAGAATGGCGGCTGTCTCTAGCATCTCGGACATAAAGCTGGAAACTCCTTTCACCTGGCTGTCTCCTGCACCCACCCTTGCCAGGATGCTGTCCATCACGCTAAGCTCCGCCTTCTCACATGGCACAAAGCAACCAATCTGAGCCATCAATGCGATCACACCCACCTGCCGGATAAAGGTGGACTTGCCACCCATATTTGGTCCTGCAAAGGTTTGGAAAACATAATGATTTTCGATGTACTTCCAAGACTTAATAAAAGCTGCGCTTATTACAACATAGGGCTGATTTTTACAGTGATGGGCCTCATCAATGACAGCCAGACAGCCCACATGGGAGAATTTGCCTTTAAATCCACCCTTGACTTAATCTGCGCTTATTTTTCACCTGTTATGATATAGAAGCTCTTGTCTTCCTGGACAAAGCTGATGTCATTAGGTATGAATGCAGTGTCTGCATCCATCTCCATGCAGGGATGTCTAGCCTGCAGCAGCTCCACGCGCCTGCAGCCATGGTCTAAGAGCTGGAATTGAGGTCGAACGAACGGCACAGGAGCAGACACCGATGTGACGGCAAAACTCGCCACGGCGTCCAGCTGCGCTATCACGTCGCTGAGCGTCTGGAGGGGATCCACGTAACCTGGCGGTTTAAAACATTTAGAGCCTTAAATGAACCATCGCAGGCGGAAGACCGCATCATGTGCAGGCTCCAAAACGATTTTGTATTTGATAAAAGAAAGACCGCAACATCACCAGTTCTTTGACGTCTATGCAAAAATTCCAAGTGCTGTAGAGTTTACTGACCTTTACAGAAAATGTGAACGAAATCAATTAAATGGTCTCACAAAGCAACTTTCATGCAATTATGACATGTCCAGTTTTCACGCAACCCGGATACAATCGTTTCCCATGCTGTTCAAATCGATACCTTGCTGAGAAGACAGTGAGGAGCATGTGATGAGATTCCTCACCTGAGGCAATGTTGATGATCTCTTTGACGATGGCGTTCTGGGCTTCCTCATACTCCTCCCTGCTTTTGGTGTACTCCTCGTTCAGAGAGCTCAGCTTACTGCAAGCGAACATACATCGGCGCGAATCATCAGATGGCAAAAAAACCCCGCAAAAAAACGAGCAGCGTTTTGTGATGCTGACATTAGAGGCTCGGTGAGGCACACCTGTTGGTAAAGCGCACACCGTTCTTCTGCACATCCAGCGTGGTGAATTTCTTGTTGTTCCTCAGACTCTTTTCCTCCTTGCATGTGACTCTCAGGTAAAATCCCAGCACAGCGTTTGACTCCAGCTTCACGGTTTTACCCGCCTCCAGACCTGAAACACAAAGTTACGCCAATCTGTTTAAGCATAAAAGCCAAAGTGGAAACCTTCCTTTAGACGGCCGTCACCTGCCTTGCACAAGGATTGCTGCGGCACCAGGTTAGTTAGGACACACAGTCATTAGCCACTATATTAGGTACACCTGTTCAACACCTCATTAACATAAATATCCAGAGAACCTATTTAGGAAACTACCTGTTTTTGTTTTCTTGTACACACACACACACACACACACACACACACACACGTTTAAATTTCAATTAAAAGAAAAGAATTAGTATTAGGTTATTTATCACTATAATCATGTTGTACTTTACAAGTTATTCCTCTAAGAACAGATTCTTTGTATATACCAATTAATAATGTCAAGGTTATTGTTTTATATTATGTATATACTGTAATCACCTAGTTCTCTGGCTGCACTGTTCAGCACGGTCTGCATGCGTTTTTCCAGCACATCCATCTTTTCTCTCAGCTCACTCAGCACCGGATCAAATGATGCCTTCACCAGGTACTCGTGGTGGTCAATCTACACGAAACAAGAAATAAGTCAAATGCACAACAGGCTGTGTGCAAACAGAGGGCAAAATACTTTGAAGCAAATGAAAAGACCTGGTTCATGTCCAATGTGGTTTCAATCATCTCTTGGTACTTGGTGCAGTCAGTCTGCAGGTCTCTGAGAGGCGAGAGGAATACTGCATTTAGCAGAACCTTGTTGCTACCTGCAACACAAAAAAAGTATTAGCCTAAATTTTAGTTAAAAGTGATTTGAAGCAGACCAGATCTCAGTTTTGAATTCATCTGATTCAATACATAAATAGTTCCATGAAAAACAGCATCCTTTGTTTACACACAGTCAGCACGATGAAGCAACAACAATCTTTGGACTCCAAATAACAACAATTAAGAAACTGTCAAATCAGCTGTATGAAGCAAACAAGACAGCATCCCTGCAGCCTGCAAAACAGATTGTAGAGTGAGGTAAACAGTGTATAAGCTGCAGCTTACCCGTGTATCCCTCCAGAGCAGTGATAAGAGTCGGTATTTGGCTCACAGCCTGGTAGACACGATAACAGTCCTGCAGCGTTGCCGTGTGACGGTGAAACTTCTTGGCCAGTCGATGAAGATCGGGAAACCGCCTCAGCAAATCGTCCTGACAGGTCTGCCTCAGCACAGAGTCGCACACAAAGCTTTCCACCAGGTCAAGCCTGCACAAAAATATCCTCAGTAATTGTAAGTCCTGTAGAATGGCCTCCCCCAGAGCCCGGACCTCAGCGTTATCGAAGCAGTACGAAATCATCTTTGACTGAGAACTAAACAAAAGGCAGCCAACATCCAAAGAAGACCTCTGAATGTCCTCGAGGAAGCCTGGAGAAATACTCCTGAAGACTACTCAAAGAAATCACAAGAAAACTTGTCTAAAAAAGTTCCGTTCAGAATTTCCATGTATGCGGACATATCGGTAAATTTCTGCATCTGTTTCGACTTTTCCTGTCAAATTATAAAAACATGAGAGCTGATTCATAATACCATACTTCTATTCCCTTAAATGCCTCCTTGAAATGTATAATGTTTGTTAAGCTAAAGATGTTTGACTAGGAGGTCTTATCGCCTACAGACCTGGCATATTGCTAAGTTGGATTTGTTAAAGGTACAGAAACCCTCCATCCCTCATCACTGTATTACCTCTCCTCTATTTTAGTTTTGTCCATGAGGGGCTGTTTGATCCACTGGTTGACCAACCGCTGACCCTGCGGCGTACGGCACTTATTCAACAAACCGGCCAATGAGTGAGCTCCGGTGGTGTCGTCAGGTGAACCCTGAAGTATACAAATTTGCATGTTAGTCGTGAATTTAACAGATGAATTACAGTGATGCACGGACAAATTGGGAATATTTTTATCACAGTCGTACGTATTTGCTACATAACAGGAAAAAAAAAAAAACAGGCTCAGTCAATAAAATCCAACATGTCACAGCTACTAGAACTTGAACGGGTTGCTGGTTTTCTAAATTTCTTGCTGGTCATTCCCAAATTTGTGTTTTTGAATTCTCTAAATCACATCTTTTTGTTTTTCTAGCACAACAACAACCAGTTCCTACAGAGCCTGCAACCACAAAGAGCCTGTGGAGATACAGAAATTATTTTATTGCTGCCATATAATCTGCATCATTATAACTGCATTAATAAGCCAAGACAAGCCAAGAAAAGAACACTTCTGTTATTCTGGTGCTTTTATCAAGGTGAAAACTTTGAGGCGTTGACACCGGTCACTTACCTGGAAGAGATTAAGAGCCCTGACGGCGGCGTTGTCCAGCCTCATGTACTGACCAAGGTCCAGAGTGGTCAGGTTGAAGGAGTTGAAGTTGGACTCATCAGAGAGCAGTTCAAGGAAACGCACCACTGCAGCCAAACATGACATTGCCACCTGAGAATGACACCACACAAGGGACGCTATGGTCAAACTTCCCACATAGTGACCTGTTCATATGCACGGCCTTCAGCCTGAGTGTCATTTAGTCGGCAGGAGCTGTTATGACTGGGATTTTATCAATAATGCTTAGTTCTAAATGTTGTTGTAAAATAAAGAAAAGTTTTTTCAAACCACCACCTTTTGTCAAAATGTTTGTTTTTTCCTGTCGTTCACCTGTTTGTCCAGCTCAGGTAAGGTGTTGCTCGCCACGGTCTCCCCTCTCTTTGCTCTCAGCAGCCGGTTGAGATCCTGGACCATGTCCTTGCTGTTGAACTCAGCTCTCTTCCTATCAGAGACTAGCATGCCGCCACGCTGCACCACCTACACAGACATACAAAAACAACAATATACTCGCATCACAATCTCTGCTTATGCAGCCAGAGTATTAATATTCATTTTTTTTAAGTCAGGCCTGGTTTAAAGAAAAGAACACTCTTTTAAAGACTTCCCATTTCGCAAGACTGATGTTCATACTGATTTTTTTTAACATAAGTTTAGTAATTACCGTGCCCACATACCTCACGCAGTTTACTCCCATCAGCGTTAGCTTCCCCCTGGGCTAGGAGACACTCTTTGGGACTGATTTGGACAAGCAGGGATTCCAAGTTGGAGAATATCTCATTGTCTGGAAACTCGCACACTCCCATCGTCCTCTGGGCTGCATCCACATACCCGACCCCAACAACACGCTGCCCATCAGCTCCAGTTGCAAGCCGCACAGCTACGACACCTGCACAGCCCTCTGAGCCGCTTTCCCCACCAAAAAGGATCTCCTCAAGCTGAGTCAAGTTTCCTGGAGAGGCCTGCATGTGGACACAGGAGGTAAGATCCAGAGTTGTTTTTAAAAACAAGCAGAAACCACCCTGATATGTCTCAATAGCCAGCACAGTACCTTGTACTCAATCTTCCAGTCGTGCTCCTTGCTGCTCTTGCTGTGGTTCCTGTACACCTCCACTCTGTACTGCCTCACCAACAGCAAATCTTTCACAAAGGCCTCAAAGTTCAGCTTGCTCAGAACCACACTCTCCAGCTTTCGACTCCCTGTTGACCAACAAAAACATGTCAAAATCTTTGTAATGCGTCCTTCTCATGGCACAGAGTGCTGGTGGTTTCAGTACACAAGTATCTCATGTGACCAGGTGGCATTTTTTATTTAGCAGATCATCTGCCTCCATCTCAGCCTGTCCCCAGCATCCTGCTTTGTATGTCCTCCTTCAGTATGTCCAAATACCTCCTGTGTGGGCTTCCTCTTTCCCTTCTGCCTGGCAGTTCTAATTAAGGATCTTCTGTCTAATACATCCACTATCCCTCCTCTGTACATGTCCAAATCCTTGCCCCCTCCAACTTTGTATCCAAAATGCGCAACCTGAGCTGTCCCTCTAATATAACCGTTTCTAATCCTGTCCATCCTCCCAATTAATTAAAATCTTAACATCTTCAGTTCTCCCTCTTGTCTTTTTCTCAATGCCACTGTCTCTAAACCATACATCAAAACAGGTTTCACCTTCCCTTTCACTCTTGCTGCTACCCTCCTGTCAAAAATCACCCCCGAAACCCATCTCCACCTGCACCACCCTCTTGGTACTCTCTTCTTCACTTCTGTTGTGCACTATCCAGTGCTCTCCATGGTTGACTCAAGGTATTTAAACTCCATCATTTGTCCTAGTGTAAAATTTAGAGTCAGCACAAAGGTACAAGTCATGCAGGTTTTTGTGTTGTATGCTGAAAACTACCACAGAAGAAAGGAGCTGCAGCTAGCTATAAAGACTAAAACATCTAATATCTGGGTGAAGCAGTTTTTGTTCTCCATGTTTTTCTGTCAGTGACCTCACAGGAAATTTGTAGCTCAATGATATATCTCCATTTAAACAAATGAAATGTCCCTGAGACAATAAATGAAAACACTTAACTGTAAGAGGACCCCTCATCATTTCCCACAAAAACATACTCTGTCCAACATTTAATTAGCCATGGCAATGCTTCTGAACGTACAGGACCTGCTAGGGCTGCAGCTAATAGCAGCCACCTTAGCTACAACCTGTGAAACCCTTTCTCTGGCTACACGGTCACACCAACTAGGTTAGCTTAATAGTAAAGGCACCGAGGCACCCCTCGTCCCCTTACTTGTTTAAAAGCGCCAACTGAAGTTAGCTTAGTGCACAGCTAAGCTAGTACCTGAACCCAAATATTTGATGACCCCGTTCGTTTTGAAAACCTCCTTCGCCGCGAATATGGCGTCCTTCCCGTGAACCGTATAATATTCGTTACGGTCAAATATCCGGAATGTGGTGTCCGGCTTCTCCGGCATGGAGAAAATGAAGTTAAGAAAGCCGTGCTCGGCTGCGCTGTCCATGGACAGGTTCTGTTTCGGCTGCACCGCCATCCTGGAATCTCCCGCCACCAAGCAGAACCAAACAGGAAGTTGCGTTGCCGAGATGTTCCCATAGAAACAAGAACGCAACCGGGGCCGCTTACTGGGAACATTTTTATTCACAAATGCAGACATTTCAAAACTAAAACACGTATAAACAGATGTTTGAATGATCTTAAACTCTCGAGTAAGTCGCTGAAACATGTAAATGACAAGAACGCCGCTCGTTTCTTCTTTTACGTCTTCAGTAGCTCGGAACACTAATGTTATGTAAACATTTTCGAACCTGACTTAAAACTTCAGTAATCACCGGAACATAAATAATATCGACTTTCTAACTCACATTTCTCAGTAAATAACTCAAAACTGATGAAATCGTTTAAAATGTATTAAAACTAAAAGTTATTACGTCGAAATTTTGAAATGATAACCCAAATTTTCGACTTCCATCCATCCATTCTCTTCCGCTTATCCTTATCAAGGTCGCCTGGGTGGTGCTGGGCCTAACCCAGCTAGCATAGAGCAAGAGGAAAGGCACACCCTGGACAGGTCGCCAATCTATCACTGGGCTAACACATGCACACCTATGTGCAATTTAGAAACACCAATTAACATAATATATATACTCATATAATTATAATTAACCTCTTATGGATCAGAGTTGCCAGAATTTCATCAAACAAACTCAACATGAAGTTAATAGATCAGTAGATGCTTTTCAGTTACTGGAAACAAATTTCAGAGGGACCCACAAATAAGAAGCAGCCAAAAGTGGCTGCAGTGAAGGCTT